CTTGGGCATCTCCCTGAATGCAAAAGACAACAAGACTTTAAACAGGAAGATTAGGACAAATAGCATGAGAAAGGTCAATGTTACGCTACAAATCGAAAAGCATACATTGTAAGCTCTATTCACTGGCAAGAGCGTGCTTGCAGGCATGCTTCAGGTAGAGTATACAATGTACGCTTTCCGATTTGAAGAGTATTAGACAAGATATTTAACCAAAGATTCCAAATAAATTCAATACATATGAAAGGATGTTAAATAGAAAATAACAAAACAATTAATGATGACAAATGGTTCTGAATGATTTGAAGCAAAGACATGGCTGATTGTACCTTACATTGACAGCTCTGGTTTTGGCTATATCAAGTTGTGAATTGTGAAGTGTGAATTTCATCAACTTGATAAAGCCTTAATAGAGTCAAGCTCAACATAAATCAAAGTGACATGGGAACTACAGACACGCAGGTTATGATAAGAAAGTGCGAGGTTATGATTTTCGTTATCTTAGTCGGTTAAAGATACGAATACGCACAAGCATACGCTGCTGGAACTCCAACCTCCGTTGCTTCTTCCCCTCTCCTTTCCTCCAATCAGTTGTCCTTGACCGTCTCATTATTTGTATGCCAATTGCAGTCCTCAAGATAACACACACACACACAAGCCTATTTTCGCTTTCGTTTCCACAAACGCCCTGTGTAAGTTTCAAACCGAAACCTTTGGACGAGGATTATGACGTCACAGCGCATCCTTCTTCACACCACAGGGTGTGATGGAAGGGTGGCCTACGTCCCAGGCGTCCGATTGGAGACAGGGAGCTGGAGTTAATGCGTGAAATTTTGCGTTGACTTGACTTGACAGGCACCACAAATGATCGTATGAACGTATCATGCACCACGAGGCAGGCTCCTACAGGAAAAGGTGTGCTATGTGTGTGTGTGCGGGGGGGGGGGAGGAGGAGGAGGAGTTTGTCGCTCGTTAACCCGCTAACCTGCTCTGTGGCGCTGGCGGGCAGCCTGGCAGGCGTGCGTGTCGTGCGGGCTGGCCCGCCCGACGCTTCGCAGGCGTGTTTGATCCGCGCTGCGCTCCATCATCTCGGCAGGCGCAGCACACTGATTTCGAAAGTAATTATGCGGCTACAACGTTGTTACCACAAACAATGATTTCATAGACTCGTGTGGACGCTCGCACACGACCAATGCAAACGCTAAGTGGGTCCCGAACACACTGTGAACAATGCAAACCCCCATTGCTGACCACCATGCTTGGACTCTTCCAGGCACACTGCGATTGCGAACCGTGCTTGGGCCCCGCCGGACGGACTGCGGACCGTGCATGGACCCTGCCAGACCCCGCCGGACGGACTGCGGACCGTGCATGGACCCTGCCAGACCCCGCCGGACGGACTGCGGACCGTGCATGGACCCTGCCAGACCCCGCCGGACGGACTGCGGACCGTGCTTGGACCCTGCCAGACCCCGCCGGACGGACTGCGGACCGTGCATGGACCCTGCCAGACCCCGCCGGACGGACTGCGGACCGTGCATGGACCCTGCCAGACCCCGCCGGACGGACTGCGGACCGTGCTTGGACCCCGCCGGACGCACTGCGGACCCACAGGGAAGCATGCTTCCATGGACCGCCATGGACCCTTTCGGACTCACAACGGACCCAGGTTGCGACCACTCTTTGGAAAGGTCTCATCAAGATCTATTCAAATCAGCAATAAAAAAAATTGTTGGTCACTCCCCTTTTTTCAAGATACTGTTTTTTAAACTCTATTTTGAAAACAGGGGGGTGACCAACAATTTTTTTTTATTGCAGATTTGAACAGGTCTTGGTAAGACCTTTTCAGCGAGTGGTCGCAACCTGGGTCCTAAGTGCGTCCTTATGGGTCTATGCATCCGAAGTCCGAAGTGCGTCCGTTAGCGTTCATAGGCGTCTACAAGGGGCCCTAGTTAGATGACGCTGCGCGGACCCCAACGGACGCATCACGGACGCTCCACGGGTCCAAACGGACGCAGTACGGACGCTCCACGGGTCCCAACGGACGCCGTACGGACGCTCCACGGGTACCGACGCCCCGCGGGCCCCAACGGACTTGTACTTTTTTTGACCGGCTTCGGACCCAAACGGACGTATCAGGGACTCGAAGGCGAAACTCAAGCGGCGTCGCACTTCGGACCACTAGCGGACCTTTGGCGGACTGGACGGACGCACTGTGGACGTATCCTGGACTTCCATTTTTGGCCGGCTTCGGACCCAAACGGACGTACCAGGGACTCGAAGGCGAAACTCAAGCGGCGTCGCACTTCGGACCACTAGCGGACCTTTGGCGGACTGGACGGACGCACTGTGGACGTATCCTGGACTGCTTTTTTTGGCCGGCTTCGGACCCAAACGGACGTACCAGGGACTCGAAGGTGAAACTCAAGCGGCGTCGCACTTCGGACCACTAGCGGACCTTTGGCGGACTGGACGGACGCACTGTGGACGTATCCTGGACTGCTTTTTTTGCCCGGCTTCGGACCCAAACGGACGTACCAGGGACTCGAAGGTGAAACTCAAGCGGCGTCGCACTTCGGACCACTAGCGGACCTTTGGCGGACTGGACGGACGCACTGTGGACGTATCCTGGACTGCTTTTTTTGCCCGGCTTCGGACCCAAACGGACGTACTAGGGACTCGAAGGCAAAACTCTTGCGGCGTCTCCTGCCGGACCACCGGCGGACCCTATGGTGGCCATTCACGGACTTCAAGGACGTATTGCGGACTTCGGCAAGTTTTCTCTGAGGTTTGGCGGACGGCAGGTGACCCAATGCGGACGCTTCACAGACGCTGTTTTCTGTGCGTGGACCAAGCAGACGCAGAGTGGACCGACTTTGGACTCGAGTCGACTCCGACAGGACGCTTGGGACCCTTGTCGGACGACGTGAGATCGTGGACGCGCCGGGACGGCAAATGGACCGAAGGCTCCGGACGTCGCAGACTACAGCAGGACTGACTGTGGACCAGGAAGGACGCACTGGACTCGGTTCGGACTAGTTATGGACCCGGCAGGACCTCACGGACGGCAAGCAGACGCCACCTTTGCGTCCAGATCGGGTCCGAACGATCCACCAGGGGTGCGCATCCGTCGATACATCGGCTTACGGCTCCCATCACTGGACCATGGACGTTGGCACTGCAGCAACAGTAAATGGGGAGTTATGGATGCATAACGAATGTTTTCATGAGCCTGACAACGAGGAAGGGTTATGTTGCCCTGAACTTACATGCTCACGTTCTCTCGAAGAAGCTAATCAATGACGAACCCAAGCAATTAACTGCAGACAGAATCTATTTTCTTTGCGATGCAATTCCAGATTCCAGAGGGAATAAACCTAATATGTACTTGAAATTGACCGTTAACTGCGTCGAGCAATCTGCTTGTTTGGACTTGCACTTGCACCTGCCTGCACTGTACTGCAGTGGAGGGGAGGGGAGGAGGGAAGGAGCGCTCTCAGCGCATAGCCAACTGCTGATCACGAAACACGCGCCCGAAAGTGAAAGCTCTGCATAGTAACGAAAAACTGTCACAAATATTAAAACACACGAATAGAAAAAAAAAATGATCTCTCACTTTCTTCGCCCAAAGCTCCTTTTCATAAAATGCCGGGACGCCGCTTTTTTAGGGGTTCCGACGAAGGAGGACCCCTATTGCCCGGGGCCGCTCAGAATTCTTCTTCTACGGACCCCCCAGGATGGACATTTCGCTCCCGCCATATTAATCCTTTTCATAATACAATAAAAAGTCCAGAAAATCTTAAAAATTTATCGTGGAAATTTTCCGTAAACGACTAAAACA